ATTCATTTACAAGAACAGTACTGTATCTGTGACTGTCAACTGCATGGTTTGTTTGGTTGTTGTTGTTTTCTTTTGCGGTCTCGAGGATCGGACCTAACGCTTTGGCACCAAACTACATCCCCATCCTTAATTTTTATTTTTTTACTCGTGAGATGGGATCTTGCCAAGTCGCCAAGTTGCCCAGTCTGAGCAACTAGAATGAATTGGAATTTGCGATCCTCCTGCCTCAACTGCTCAGAGCGTTGCGATGACAAGCAGGCCTGGCCCGCTGTGTATTCTCGTGGCAGCCATTCATTCTTAGAGGTCGGGATCTCCACCTTAAATCAGCAGAAAGGCCCCTTTGAATTTCTTTCTCTCTACTCCCTTGGTTGTAAGGGCAGAAGATGTTTCCTAGAGTTCTCACTTATATAACTTTTAACTGTCTCTTATCTATTTTTGAAAATCAACAGTTTTGCTTCTTTTTCTGAGATAGTTTGGGTAGGTAGCTCAGACTGGCTTTGAACTTGAGATCTTCCTGCCTCAGCCTCGGGAGTGCTGGGATTATAGATGTGCCCCACCAGGCTGCAAATTAACAACTCCTTATATCAAAATTTCTCTATTCAAGATAATAGTAAAGTGATTTCTGCCTCACTGGTGTGAATAATACAATGGTAGAAAACACTAACCTCAAAAAGTTGGAAAAAGCTTAAGAAAGAAAAAACTAAAAACAAAAAAAGGAAAGTAGAAACCTATACAGTATTACCAACACACTGCCCCCGGGGGCAGGAAGGAGAGCTGGGAATGCAGTTCTGTGATGCAGTGCGTGTCTACCATGTTGAAGGCTAGCACCACAAGAACAAAATCTTTACAGAATTTTACTAAGTTACAGGAATTGAATATATTTCTGAATAGGAACACATCCAATTGCAAAAATGTCATTTATTCCCAATATTAACTTAATGAAATGTAAATTATACGCTTTAGAGTTTGATAAAGTTCTAAAGTTAATCAGGAAAAATCCCATTAAACTATAAGAAAATTTGGAGATATGACAGGGTGTGGCTATACTGTGTTACTTAGACTGGTCTCAGACTCAGACTCAAGAGGTCTTCCTACCTCAGACTGGTTAGTCCTGGGACTACAGGACTAAGAAATGAGACTGGCTAAGAAAAATTTAAGTTTAGGAATTTATCTTATCAAAACTGATTACAGAGGAGAGGTTGAAGGGAGAAAGGGGAATGGGGAAAACAATGAACCACATACAGGTACAAATTCTCTGTGATGAATATAATCATTATTTATACCTCCAGTATACCAATAAAATCTGACAGAAAAAAAACCTATTACAAGGTTGTAGATTATTGTAGAGGGTTTGCATAGCATGCTCAAGCTTCTGTATTTGATCCCCAACATGTCCCTCAAAAATAAATTTGATAACCTATTATACTGAGTTCTACTCCCAATACCAAAAAAAAAAAAAAAAAAAAACCCAGAAACTATTATAAACTAAAGGCATGTAAAAATGTATAAAATGTAAGTGAAAATTCTGAAACAAATTTTAGATATATAATAGGAAAGAAAAATCAAGAAAAGATAGAGTAACAGTTATGAAAATGCCTAATCTGGCTTCCACTTGGTGGATAAATTAATTTTTTTTTTTTTTTTTGAACCGGGGATTGAATTCAGGTCCTTGCACTTGGCCAGAGAAGCGCTTATTCCACTGAGCCATCTCCCCAGCCCCGGTGGATAAATTAATTTTATATGTCTTTCTTTTTGCAAAATAAATTCCAGAGAGTGTAACACTTGAATTTCAAAATTAAGCTGGGTATGGTAGTGGGTGTTAGCCTTTTCTTTCTCTTTTCTTTTTTTCTTTTTTTGTGCAGGGTCTCACTATGCAGCTCAGACTCATAGTGAGCCTCCTGATTTCTGCCTCCCTAGTGCTGGGATTACAGGCTGCACCACCACGCCTGGATTCCATGCTGGCTCCGCACGCCTGGGGGTGGGGCTGGTGCCGCGTGTGGTACCAGTGTGGAACCCTGGCCCCTGCATTTCCTCAGCCGAGCTATAGGGTGCTAGTCTTTTCAACATGAATGTATTTCTTTTCTTTCTTTTGCAGTACTGGGATCAAACACAGGACCTTGCGCTTGCCAGGCAGGCACTTATGCTGCTGAGCTATATCCCCAGCACCATGAATGTACTTCTGATACAAATCAAGAATCATCCTGTAAGTAGTGTTCTGTTGAGGAGATAGTATATCATGGATATCTTTCCATGCTCTAATTCCAGCACTCAAGAGGCTGAGACAGGAGCATTGCTGCGAGTTAGCTTGTGCTACATAGTGAGCTCAAGGTCCACCTGAATCATATAGTAAGACCCTGTCTCAAAATAAACTGAAAGCTGTGAGTTCAGAAGTACAAATGAATACAATATAATTACTACAAAAACCTTTCTTGCAGGGGCCGGGGAGATGGCTCAGTGGAATAAGCACTTCCCTGGCAAGCGCAAGGGCCTGAGTTCAATCCCTGGTTCCACAAAAAAACAAAACAAAAAAAAAAAAAACCTTTCTTAATCCCAATTTTAATGGAAGAAGTAGTGCAAGAAAAGAAGGAGAGCTTTAAGGAATATTAAAAACTTCTGGAGGACTGGCAAGGTAGCCCAACAGACTAAAGCGCCTGCTTAGGGAAGCTTAGGCAAGCGCCCTGGGCACCACATGCAGAGCCAGCCCCACCCCCAGGGTGGGCTGAGCAGGCCACACACACACACACACACACACACACACACACACGCACAAAAGCCCTTCTGGGGCTGAGGATATAGCTCAGTGGCACAGCGCTGCAGGTTCTCTGAGTGCTGGGATTACATAGGATTTGCACCACCACACCTGGCTTTAAAATATAAAAATATCCCATTAGAGGGTTGGAGAGGTAGCTCTGTGGCACAGCAGGGTTGGAGTAAATAGAAAACAAAAGCAACAAATAACAAGCAGCTCACAAAGAGATAAATAGATGTGGCCAATAATGATTTTGAAAAAAATGCTCAGCTTCCTTAGAAAGCAAAGAAGTGGAATTCCTCCCTTTAGGCTGTTCCACGAAGTGACCTAGGTATGTGCTGTGGAACACTTAGCGCCGTGTCTGGCATTTGAACACTCTGTAAGTGGCAACTGTCATGACTTCATATTCATATTCATTACTGTGGAGCACCTCCAGAATCTACCTCAAGACCGGGGAGATGGCTCAGTAGACTAAACACTTGCCTGGCAAGCACAAGGGCCTGAGTTCAATCCCCAGTTCCACAGAATCTACCTCAAGCTGTTTCCTCACTGAATGGTTAATTTCCGCAACAGCTGGGCACTATGTTCACATTTTTAAAATTCAGTTTATTGGCACATTTGAGGTATACATAATGATCACATTCATCACAGGGGATGTGCACCTCTACACGCCGTAACTTTTTTTCTCACTCTCCTACCATACGTCCAAAATGTTGGGAGCAGAGGCAAATAAACATTTGATTTTAAAATGGAAGTGCAGTGTTAATTTTTTTTTCCTGCAGGACAGTTTAAAAATACTTGAATTTGAAAATTGCTTCACCTATTGCATTTCTAGCTTTCCCTCAAGAAATCTTCAAAGTGCAAAAATATAAGTGAAGTTGTATTTGCAGGTGCAGGAAAACGTAAACAATGTAAATGTTCAAGAATAGAGTACTTCAAGATATGAAGCGTCCACGATGTAAAATACTATGCAGCGTGTAAAGCTAATGCATTTTATTTATATATACTGACATGGAAGGATATCATATGATGTAATATACTATCTTGTCAACAGAACTCTACTTATAGGATGATTCTTGATTTGTATCAGAAATACATTCATGTTGGACAACAGAGTAAAATATGCATAGTGCTTGTATTAGAAATGCTTTTTATCTTCGTGCATTTAACAAATTTTTCTGACCACTACCGTGTGCCACGTGCAATTAATCGAAGGCTGTGCGAGTAGTGCAGTACTGTTTGCATGTAACTACTCAGAGTTGAGAAGAGACAAACGTGCACAAATAAATGTCAGATATATACAAATGTTAGGGTGACTTGTACAGCAATTAACCACTAAGAAGAATATATGCAGTGTGTTAGTTATTGAAACTGTACTACCGATTTGATTTGAAACTGTCTCATTGCTATCTGTTTATCAATAAAATTTTGAAAAAAAAAAAAAAAAAAAGGGAGAGACGGCAGGGCACAGACTCCAGAGGGGGTTCAGGCAGGCCTCTTCGTGGGTGAAATCTGAGCAGAGTGAGGGAATTTAGCCCCTAGATACCGAAAGGTACCTTTATAATTTTCCAGTACTTATGCAGCACGTGCCTAGCCACAAACTATTTCCATTTCAGAAAGCTCTGGAGCCAAGGATCTCCGGGTCACGAGTGCCGAGTGTAAGGAAGGCAACCCCAAGATTCCGGGGAAGGGTCCTTCCAGCTCCTAGGACTCCCGCCGCTCCTCCGCGCCGTACACGGAGCACAGGTCTCCGCCCCGGGCCAGCGTTGACCCAGAAAATCGTCTAAGTAAGCTCCGCACCCCTCACTAGGCTACGTTTTGCAGAAAGTCCCACGATTTGCTAAAGACAAAGACTAAGGAGCTATGCAACCAGGAGGCTGGAAACGAGTCTCATCACTCGAGCTCCGGCTCGCGAGCCGTGCACCCTTGGCTACACCCATTCGGCTGGTGAACAGAGCTCAGGGGAAGAAATAGTCCATCCCAGCGCATCGCTTCCCACGGAGCGCAGTTCAGAGACAGCAGGAGCAAACAAATGATAAAAGCCGAGGCCAAGGCCACAGGGAAGGGATACCTAGGTCCTTCCTTCCAAGAGCTTGGGTATTTACGCGCATGTGGCCGCTGCCCTCTGATTGGCCAGACCTGGGAAATTCTCCCCGCTCATTGGCTGTCCGTCAGGGTAGACAAACAGACTTCATGGTGGTATAATCGTAAACGCTCGCAGCGGCGCATGCGTTGCTTAGTTTCCCGGGGAACCGCACCCGAACTTCCGGCGCCGGAACCGTGAACCCCAGATCCGCCGGGGGTGGTGTGTCCCGGGGGCGGGGACCGGCGGATCTCTGAGGCCCAGAGCTGTATCTCCAGGTGGCGGGGCCGGCGCCCAGACGTGGAGGCCAAGGGCGCGCTCTGCTGGGACGCGCGGGTTGCCCCTTCGCCCTGTGCCGGCTCGGTCGGTGGGCGGATACCCCTGCGCGCCCGCCGCGCCTCAGCTCCGCGCTGCGGGCACCGTGCGGGGCTCCTGGCGGACTGCGTCCCCGCCTGCCACGCCCTGCCGAGCGACCCTGGTGAGTCCTCATCTTCTCCAGGGAGACTTCCTTGATCCCTGGAAGATGAGAATGGCGTGCGAACCTTTCAGGAGTCGTGTGAGAAGAAGAGTGAATAAAGTGCGTAGTGTGTGTGGAGAAGACTCGGAAACAATCTGAGTGCATCACTCGGGTGTTGGTTAAAAAGCAGGAGCGTATCCACACTTCGAAGCTCACAGTGCCACTGAAGAAGCCTTGCTAGTCGAAAAAGCAAAATACAAAGTAGTATGTACAGTAAAGCTCGTTTGTGTAAAACACACAGCAAACATTTCTTGTCCATTTGTATAAATAAATTTTCAGTAAAACACAGGGAAAGATCTGGGACATAGTATGGAAGACTGTCAGTGGAAAGGGGTTTGCAACCGCATTGAAGAACTTGTGTTTGATGTACTATATTGCTTAAATTCTCCTCTTCTTATTGTGGTGTATGTGTTGATTTTATTGTTGAAATAACAACAAAAAAGAAATCACAAAATTTCCAAATATATGAACCAGAGCTACAGTAAATAATGACAATGTAAAATATGAGATACGTAGGGGCCGGGGAGATGGCTCAGTACAATAAGCGCTTCACTGGCAAGCACAAGGGTCTGAGTTCAATCCCCGGTTCTGAATATAAGTGGAGTTTAGTGGAGTCTTTGCGCCTTTCTCTGACACTCTCATCTCCAATGGCTAGATGAATTTTGGAATT